AAAAAACTGATTATGACCAGATATTTGGTGCATATTGCAATCTATCAAATAGATTTTGCTTCCAATAGGCCTATTAGACATTTGATACTTATATCTTAAAATATCAGATATTTGATATTTTGTTAATAGAAGAATCAGATTACTAATTGCCTATCAGATGCAATATCTATTTGATAAGTAGCAATACGTGTCAAATATCAGGTAGCTATCAGCTTTATAAACATTTTATATTTCACTAATATCTCACAGAAATTTTGTTGAAATTTTTAAGTTTGATCTGTGACAGATAAAAGGTGCATATATTGTTTTCGGATCTTTGACTATTGTTGTATTTTCCAGTTAAATAAAAAACAGAGAACTATATTATTTTACATCTACAAGTTTATTTTACTGAAAGTCTATTTCACTAAAGCTTATTTTACTAACAAGTGTTTTTTATAAATTACACTAATTTTAATTCTAACATGAACCTAATAATAATGACCAAAGTTACTTTGTCTGTAAAACAAACTTTGGTGAAATAGACTGTTGATAAAATATATTTTTAGTAAATAATTATCAGTGTCAATGAATTCAATAAAAAGTGAAGTTAATAAGAATCATAAATTATAGTATATTATTGACTATCAGTTTTCTAAAGTGGTATAATATAAAAATTTATAGGATTTATTTTTATTAACAGTTTAGCTTTGCTAAAAACATAGATTTTCATCAATTTAGGGTGTGGCGATTTAGTGAAGTGGTAGAGTTGTCACACCCCCAAGCTAGCTTGACTATAGTATCAAGTTCAAATCCCACTAGTGACATTTCAAATAAAAATATATATGTTACGATAATGAATCTTCATTAAGTTGGGGTTTAGTTAGACCTATAACTTGTAATCTCAGATTACACCAGTGTGCCAGAGAACTCTGTGTCCTGCATTGGAAGCACTGGGGGCATTAGTGTAATGTCTGGGTTATACGAAGAAATGCAAACCAGTATGGGTAGTGAAACTCATGATAAGCCCCTAGTGCATTGGTAATACTAAGGAACGAGAAGATCCAAAACTGGCTTGGCAAGTCCCAAATAGAAAGTAGTGAAGATCTTTGATAGTACTACAGGAAAGTCAAATTTGGAAGCAAGTACTAAGATTGGTGAACTTGAGCAACAAAGATTCTTTAGTGGAGGATCTACCATCAACTGCTGCCGGTCTAATACCAAACAGGTTAATTTGGTGATCACCAACAGGATCACTGGCCTGGGAAACTGGTAGGCTGGGGCTCTACCCTTTCCGGCTCTGTATAAGAAGTTGAAAAGTCAGGAGCCATGCCCTTCAGAAAAACATAAGCTAAGAACAGCTAGGTGGTACTAGCCGAAAAAAAAGGATATACATTATAAAAGTATATACCAAGGAAAGACAGACTAAAGGCACTTAAAGCCAGGTCAATGTCGACCCTTCCAGGAGAATAGCTTGGTAGCAATATAGGAGAGACTAGTAAGGATTGTAGAAAAATAGAAGCTAGAATGTAATACTGGGGTCCAAATATCAAATCTACAAGAGTATTAGTAAGTAACAAACAGGGGTTTAATAGTTAGCCCTGACCCAAGTGCATGGGTTAAGCCATGGCATCAGTTACTGAAAATCTGGTTGAATATATAAGTGGGATATATACCGCTCCAGTGGGTTTAGTACAGAGTCAAATGCCTCCTGGTGCTAGAGAAAGTACTGGGTATTAGGGGCTAAAGCCTCAGGGCCAAGATTGAAAAGATTAATTAGTGACAATATGTAACATAATAATAAGTATAACTTATGCTGAATATTAATAAAGCAATTCAGGTCTAAGTACTCACCTTAACATTTAAAAAAAAAAAAAGATTTTTATCAATTTTTTAGCAGAAGCACCAGAGCTTCATTAATAACATAGATTTTTAGTAATTATTAGTATTATTTTTTTTTAAGTTTGGGGTTTCAATTTTCATCATAAGGATTTGAGAGTTTTAATTTTGTCAGAAGAATTTGAGGCTTTGACTTTTGACAAAGGTTTCATTATTTAGAACTTAGGTTTCAACTTTCGTTATCAAGCAAAAAAGGTTTTGTATAATATCTATAATCTGAATTGGATTTATCTTGAGGCTGATAATATAAAGTTAAAACAAATTATAGATGAGAATACTGAACCTAAGACTAGATGAACAAAATAGAAAAAATAAAACAGTTACAAACCTTATAAATGAAAATACAGTACTGAATTCAAATCTGAAGTTTTGAAATTAGAACAAAAATTATTACAAAATAATGATGAGAAGGGTAACTTTATTACCAAATCAGATGATAATACAGCATCATACAAAATGAATTCTGATGATACAGTACTTCTAAACAAATAAAAAATATATTTATTTAATTATAATAAGTTCTGGTATTATTATAGTTGTTAGACAAAACCTTTTTTTGCTTAGTAATAAAAGATGAAACCTAAACCCCAAAATAACAAAACCCCTGACAAAAGATAAAACCTCAAATTCTGCTAACGAAAGATGAAACCCTAGTGCTCCTGTTAAAAAAAACCTCTTGTAGAGATTATATAATTTTTATTATTTGGCATTTTTAATAAGACATATATTAGTGTTTACAAAGTTTTAATAAAAATCCTTGTATTTCATTTCAGGCCCAAAAATATAAACCACACTTTTATGAAATTAGTACTAGCACTATTAATAGTATTAGTGCCTGGCAAAGTGCTATTGTATCTAGTATAGGCACTTGCAAATACCTACTTTGTATTTTTGTGAGTATAGTACAAAAGTGCCAGCCTAGAATTGGCTAGCACTTTTTGCTTAGTATTTTAATTCGGGTCAGGTTAACCAGGTGGGTCAGATATCTGGGTTGTGATTATGGCCACCTGGGTGAATACAAATGAATCAACCCTATGGGTCACCCATAAATCAACCCATCAATTTTATAATAATTGGGCAATAAAAAAGTTAAATTATGAATTTAACTCTAAAAGAGATACTGTTATAGAACAAAAGATGTGCAAATTTAAACTGACATAATATTTCTAAGAGAATGCAAATCTCAGAAGATTGTAACAGATATGGATGATTGTATTAAAGATAGTGATTGGCGTCGTAATCATGTGATGCTAATTGTCACGTGGTAAAATATATAAAAACGACAATTTAATTGTTGATTTTTATATATTGTATCATGTGACAATTAGCATCACATGATTACGACGCCAATCACTAATTAAAGAGTTTCATTAATGCTACAGAGTATGAAAGTGCAATTGATCAGATAATAGTCAAGAAATTGTTGATAAAGTTCTGTAACCCTGTTTAGATAGAAAATGAATAAGGATGGATAAAAAAAAAACAATTAAGTGGACAGCACAGTTCTAAAAATTTATTGGAGTAAGTAATCATTTACCCAAATCAAACAGTCTACCCAATAACCCAGGTGGACCATTAATTCACCTGGGTGATCTGGGGGTCAACCTGCTGAGTTATCTGGGTCATGATTTTTTAAACAAGTTGAAACACTACTTTTTTAAATTCATAAAGTTCTAATGTCAAAATAGTTTGTAAATATTAGATAATCAAATAGCAAATGCAAATTTGGCAAATTGATATTTCACAATTTTATGAGTGTTGTACTATTAACATAAAGCTAATAATATCTAAATTGAAATATTATATTCAACTAATTACAACCTATAAGTTGATCCAAATTAATTGCCTATTCAGATTATTGATTATTGCACTCAGATTATCACATTCGGGCTTATTATATTTTGGATTATTACATTCAGAATTATTACATTCGAAATACTTTTCTTTTCAAGATTATAATTCTTCGGGATTATGATTATTCAAGATATTTTTTTCAAGATTTATTTAATAAACTGTCAAAATATTGCTTTTTCAAGATTTTAAGATTTAGGATATAATAATACTATCGAGATTTAGTTTGATTTTATATGGGACTATATATAGATTTGATATATATAGTACATCGAACACCATATGTAAATTACTGAAAGATTATAATACTACAGTTATACTGATATATATTTTAAATGAACAAAAATTGAATTTCATAATATATAGATAAAAATACCAAAATATTAAAAATAGCCAAAATTTACTAGCTTTTAAGTCAATCCAATAACCACATAAATATTTGAATAGATATATATCTAATTACTATATACTATTTGAATGAATAGTAATTATTCAAATAATATTAGTTATTTAATGAATATTCAAATAGGCATTTTTGATCCAATATTATTTGAATAAGGAATCCAATTTTATTTGAAAATAGTTTAACTGGTTAAATGAGTTCATCTAATTGGCTCTATATTAAAATGACTCACAGCAACTGCATTCTGTGCAATGCAACTCTTGTTGTTATTAATCATGGTTTTATTTATTATATAATAGTATTTACATAATATATACTATGCTTGATATTTGAATTACATTAAATTGTCATGTATAATATTGATTATAAATAGATTTCAGAGAAATTACATCTTTAATAGTAAAGACATCATTTATAATAGCAATTTGGTTAACAAATTAATGACAATATTATAATGATGAAACTGTCTAGGAGTAAAATTTCTGAATGGTGCAATATTCTCATAAAGTTTTGCTCACTTTTCTAAGAGTGTGATAGTAATAATTTCCAAATTAGTTAAAGTTCCTGGCCAAATTTTAAATATTTCTTTTAAAATACTTCTAACCTCCCAAAATATTTTAACAATTTGAGTGTATGCTTCCCATCATGAATTCTTAAAGGTATTCTTGCATAATATAATCTGGTAGATCAGATTAGCAGATAAGCTTTTCGATCACTTATTGTTGAAATTAAAGACATTTCTAAAAAAAAACTTTTTTTTTAATTACTAGTTAACAGATTACATTAATACTACATTAATTATACAGCTTACTTGTTGATTAAATTATAATTAAGGGGATATTATAAATCCTTCTTTTAATTACTTCATTCATTTTTCCTCATAATGATACTGGATATTATGGAAAACTTTGTCAAGATTTAATTTGACTAGCTGTTGAAGTTTTTTCACATCTTCTTGGGGCTTTTTTCCTTTTATTATTGGACTGGCACCCTCAATATAGAGAATCTCAAATTTAATCTCATCTATTTTTAATCTGATTGTTCTATCTTGCTTGCAATTTTCATCCTTTTCTAGATATTTGAAAAGTGTTGTGCATGTACTATATAAATAAAAAATTAGTAAAAATCGGGTGTTTTTTTTTTTTCTAAACAACTTTATAAAGAATGCTTCATTCATCATTGATTTAAAATTATTTATAAGTGAATTTTTATCTGAAAATTCCGCTTACAGATGCTTCTAAAAATGATTAAACTGTATCGATTAACCAGATTTCTTCAGATACTTCATTCAAGTAAATATTGTTATACTTTAAAATGATGTCTTGACTAAAATTAATCATATTATTAGACCATAGTAAAAAAAAAAAGAGATAGTTAATCTAGAATACTTACATGCTACATATCATTTTACTGAATAAAATTTCATCACTTCTTTCAAAATTTTCTCTATTTAACTTCAGAAAAATTATATCTATAGTTCAAATATCCAAAAACTATTTGGTTATGCTACTAGGAAGATCTGACCTAAAATGCTCATCAATTATACATAGTAGTTCAAACCCGTCTGAATTGATGTTAAATATACTTGGAGGAATAACATAAGCATTGATATAAAAACTCCTTAAGAGTTCATTTTGTGGTAAAGATTCTAAACTTGTATTCAAGATTGCAAGTATGTACAAACTAAATCCATTTCTTTGATCCAAATTTGACTAATTTAATGTGATTCAATTAGGTGAATTGAAAGCTTATAAAAAAAAAAATCAAATTATATATTTTTTACTTTATAGTCTTCCTCCTCTACAATCACCTAATTTGTATTGTACAAAACCGTGACTATAAATGAATGTGATTATATAAAATTTACTCTATATAATCACACTTAATATATAATCTATATCATGTAAATATATAGAAGTAAATATAAAATATACAGTATACTTAATAATAAATGCATATCTAACTTTTTGCTAAATAAAGTAATCAGAGAGTTGGGCTCCCGCTAAAAAAAAAAAAAAAAAAAACTGGATTGATGAAACTTTATGATAATAGTGAATCCTTACTTCTTTCGCTAAAAAATTACTACTGAAATTTTGGTTTTGATGAAGCTATTAATAAAAATAATAAAATTATCTCTATAATTTTAGATATTTAACCCGTCGATAAATCATTAATGAGGCTTTTTATTTATATTTAATACTGAAGATGTTTATTGACTTGTACGTATATTTAGGTTTTAAAAAGCCAATTACAGAAATTATAAATAGCAAATAAGCCATTAGCATCTATGTTTAATGCCGAAGATGTTTATTGGCTTAGCCCGGCTTGTCTATTTAGGGTTTGAAAAGCCAATTACAGATTGAAGAACTGTATGTATGTATTGTATGTACCTCTTATTATCTGTACTAATTTATTAATAAAAAGTCTTTTATTGATTTAGCTAATAGGATATCGATATACAGAAATATGTGGAATGATCTTAATTGTGCTAATTTACTTAATTGATAAATTACTTCTTAAGTTACTTATTAAAATTGATATAATTGTATGTTTTAAATTTTAGTCTTATATAAACATAAATGTAGGAGCCAGTGGCGCCCTTACTTACACTCAGGCAGGGTTGGCAATGGACTATGTCCATTAAAAAATAAGTTTTCAATGGACCATAATGGACCAATACCATAATCCATTGGTTCATTGATCCATTGATTTATACTAGTTTTATCAAAAATATCACTTTATAAAAATTAATTATAATTAAACTATTAAAACATATTAATGCTATTTTTATTCTGTAAATCTTTTAAATATTTAGCAAAAATTAACCTCTAAACAAATATAAAAAAAATATAAACTATAATTTAATACATTTTTTTTTATATATTATTTATTTATACTAGTAAAATTAAAAATTTTAAATAACATTCAAATCATGTTATTCAACACAGTAAAAGTTTAAATTTTATTTGTATTATTTCTTGATTATATTTCACAGAAAACAGTAAATAGAATATCTGAATAATAAGTAAGAAGTAATTATATGAGGATGCTAGTAGAAACCAAGCAAATTGCTTTTTTTAAAAATTTTAAATCAAAATATCTCAACAAATATTATCCAAACTTGATATAATTTTTTATAACTATATAGAATTAAAATAAAAAAGTTTTTATTAAATTTGGTTTAATAGTTGTTGAGATATTTTATTTCAAAGGTTTAAAAAAATTTTACTTGCTTGGTTTCTACATACATATATATTAATTTATATGTATATAGTTATTTATATACTTGTCCATTGGGTCTGGGGATTAGCCAATGGAACCAATAGATCTGGTCAATGGACCTGGACAAATGTGCCAACCCTGCACTCAGGGACCTGCAATAATTTGGATATCAAATTGTAAAAATTTATTTGGGTATCAACCGAAATTTGGATAAATTTGGAATAAAAAATTTAAATAATATCCAATATTTGGATAAAATATGGATAAAAATTTAAATATTTAGAATTATTTTAAATATCAATTATTTAAAAAAATTATTATTAGCCAATCAAAAATAAGATTATCGTGTAACTCAAAACTCTGCTTTAAAATTTATTATTTACTTTAATTAAATAAAGCATATTCAACATTTTTAAGGAATCTTCACTTAAATTTTTCCTATCATTTTCTAAAATATTATTATAAACAGAGAAACTTCTCTTTGCAGTGCAAGAAGAAATGGGCAACCAAATATAAATCAAAGCTATCTTGCTTAAAAGTGATAGTGAAGAAGATATTTTGTCCCAAAATTCATCTAAATTATTAAACTCAACTAAAGTTAAATCTAAATTACAATAAAATGACTATTCTCTTAACAAAGCATCTGAAGAATATTTTAACTCAAAAATCTGGGTTAAATAATTTTTAATATTGCAGTTAGCAATGGTTAATTTTACAAATCTTGAATCAAAAATTTGCATAGCAATAAAAAGAAAACAGGAAGGATGGTGTAAAAAGTGATTATTGAATTTTGTATAAACAAAAGTAAAAGCTATTTGAAATATACTATTAAAAAGACTCAAATCTGACCCAATATTTGTAATACAAGAATTTACTTCACCTTCAAAATCAGTATTTAATTTGCCACTTTTTAAAAAACTTTTAAGTTGTTGAATCCTACTTTCAACATATGAGATCACAGGTTCATTTTCTTTTTGAAAGAACTTAAGATCAGAAATAAATTTTTCAGTGTAATGCTGAATAAAAATTAGATAAGTTCATACTTGTTCACTTTCTTCATAATTATAAATATATCGAAAATTTTTGTGATTGTTTCAGATGATTCAATTTGCAATTCCTTATTATAAAATTCTTGCATATAGCCCAAATAATTGTAAACATAAAACACTATTCTAAACCAAGTATCCCAATAAGTTGTAGCTGGTAATGGTATAAATTACTTAATTGTTGATCCAATCCATACTATATTAAGCAATTCATATAGCAAGATCTATGAGCTTTAGAATATATAAACATTTTTTTGATATTTGAAATAAATATTTTAACAAGATTAAAATAAAAAATTGACAGCTATGTTTCTCTAAAATAATAAAGTTAAATCTTATTAATATATATTAATAAATAATAATACTATTATTATAATGATAATTATTATTTACTCAATTAAATTTACAATATGAGCTAAACAAGTATTATGCTTTAATTGTTGCATTACAGGACTTATAGCTTTGCAAAAACATTTCTATATACAATGCAGAATCAGTAACAAACAACTTTGAAAGTATAAAGGAAATATTCCATTTAGGTAAAAGGCATAAAACAAGACTATCTATAGTTGAATGATTCACTTGTTACAAATAATCGACTGATATACTGTAAGTTTTGTTATTTCTTGATATAAAAATAATATGTTATCTACACTACACCCTTTTACATAAGTTGTTTCATTAATTATAATTGCAATAGATTTTTCACTAAATATGCAACATAAATCTTTTAAATGTTTATCAAAAACTTTTGACAAATATAATCAATATAACTACTAGCCAAAGGTATACAACTACTCTTTTTACAGTACATATTTAGAAAGCCACAAAGCTGTTAAGTTTTTTGATTGGTATATCTGCCTCAACTAGTGCTTCTAGGTCTGGTTTGGGTTTAGTTCAGTCCAGGTCTGGTCCAAGATTGAACCAGTTCAGACTTTAAATTTTACTAGTTTCGAACTTCAAACCAGACTCAAACTTAATTATGAGTCTGGTTTGGGTCTGGTTTGAAGTTTGCAAACTAGTTTGAGTCCAAACATATTTATAAATTTGTCTGGGTCTGAAGTTAGCAAACATGTCTAGTTCAGTCTGGTAGATTTTTTTGTGGCTTAGCTCATAATGTGAGCAGATTTGTATTACATATTTACTCATATAATAAGCTAAACTACAAAAAGACCAAACTAGATATTTGCAAACTTTGGACTTTATAGAAGATAACACTTTAAAGTACTTTTTGAGAACCCTACATTTTACTAATAAAAATAATCTTTTTGCTTCAATATAGAAAAATAATCAGTAATAATTAAATAAAAATCTTGTCTTTTTACTTTTTACTAAATTATATGCTAGTTTAAAAAAAGAAAAAAAAAATAATCATTGATTTTCTTAATTTTAAAACTAAATCTAAATTGCTTTAATAATTACGGCACCTCTTAGTTATTAGTATTCCTGTGAACTTTACTTAGAAGACAAAATATATTAACACTTATTGGGCATATCAACTTATACTGTAGAGTGAAGGTATCAGAAATGTATTATCTAAATCTATTTTATTATGTTATATTTAAATAAGATTTATTTCTAACTGTTTAATTTAAATCGATACAGGCAATTTAATAAAAAAAACTGAGCTTAATACAGTCTTCCCCCTCTATAGTCACCCCCTATATAAGCACATCATATAAAAACCTCTTTATAAGCACATCTATTTTAAAATCAACTATTATAAACATATAGAAACAAAACCTCTATATAAGCACAATACTTTATAAGCACATTTTTTAAAAAATGTTACTATGATCCTGACGGTGTGATTATAGAGAGGGAAGACTGTATTTAAATTTGGCAGTTCTTGTAGTGGGATGTTGTACTGATTCATAATTCGAACAAAAATATACAAAAATTTGTTCAAGAATTAAAAAATTATAGTGAAATTGGTTACAAAAACCCTTTGTGTTTAGGAGTGTCAAGAAATAATCATAGTAACTATATTATTGTTAATAGAAGGTTTGTTATAAAAAAATTTTGTACAAAGTATCACAATTAGAATAGAAAGATAAATTGAATATTTTGTA